GAAAGGGCTGTGGCCTGGGGAAAGGGCTGTGGCCTGGGGAAAGGGCTGGGGAAAGGGCTGTGGCCTGGGGAAAGGGCTGTGGCCTGGGGAAAGGGCTGTGGCCTGGGGAAAGGGCTGTGGCCTGGGGAAAGGGCTGGGGCCTGGGGAAAGGGCTGGGGAAAGGGCTGTGGCCTGGGGAAAGGGCTGTGGCCTGGGGAAAGGGCTGTGGCCTGGGGAAAGGGCTGTGGCCTGGGGAAAGGGCTGTGGCCTGGGGTAATTGGAGACAATTAGAGACGTAGAGTGGCATGACCTTCAACACATGTCACACCTGGGTCCGTATGACTCTCCAACGGTAGGGCGAATACCGCTCTCTGTCTATTGGCCTCTCCATCAGCGGTGTATAGTGGGGCTGGGAGGTATACCGTCTCTGTCTTTGGCCTCTCCATCAGCGGTGTATAGTGGGGCTGGGAGGTATACCGTATTTAACTATATACCGGTATTGATGCACAGACCGGTTTGGGTTTTTACTTTACCTTATATAACAGTATTTGAGGGTTTGTTAAATGTGATATACCACTTTTTATAGTTTACGCTGCTACTCCCACCAAGCCCCGCCCCCTGTCACTCAAGGAGTACAGTTGTTGTTGCTCTCCCATTCTGCGCAGTCGATGCAACAATATGTTCGATTGATTCTAATGTATGTTTTTGCGCGATATTCCTAATGCATGTATCGCAAGAATCAAGGTTTAGTTATTTTTCATTATTTTTTAGCGTTTATGTCCTACCCAAGAAGACTCAAGGCTGTAATCGCTGCCAAAAGGTGCTTCAACAAAGTACTGAGTAAAGGGTCTGAATAGCTCAATTGGTAGAGCATGGCGCTTGTAACGCCAGGGTAGTGGGTTCGATCCCCGGGACCACCCATACGTAAAAATGTATGCACACATGACTGTAAGTCGCTTTGGATAAAAGCATCTGCTAAATGGCATATTATTTTATTATTTTATTAATACTTATGTCAATCTGATATAAAAAAAAATAAAAATCAATAAATGTGAAAACATTTCTACAAACCTGTTTTTGCTTTGTCATTATGGGGTATTGTGTAGATTGATGAGGGGGAAAAAACAATTTCATCAATTTTAGAATAAGGCTGTAACGTAACAAAATGTGGAAAAAGTCAAGGGGTGTGAATACTTTCCGAAAGCGCTGTACATGGGGAATAGGGTGCTATTTCAGGCGCTGCATAAACTCTCCCCCTGCCCAAACCTTATCTGGCTCTATATCTGTCACAACAAAGAAACGAGTGTCTCAGAATTTCTCCCCCTTTTCCTACAAGGCTATTATATAATAGACCTATATATAGGTCTACATGGAAACGTTGTTAAACCCAAGTTGTGTTTTAAAGCATATTATAAAATGATATCCAATACATTGCAGTCTGTCAATAACCATAGAACAAGAAATATAAATATTTGTGACCAACACTGACGTGAACAGTCACCTGTTGGAGCTAGTTAGCTAGTGCTGCATGTTTCCCTGGTGAACTTTCTGTGGCAAGTGTCTGGCAAAACGTCAACAAGCAAAGGCTCAAAGAAGTGTAAACTTGAGTTGAACCTGTCAAGCATAAGTGACTTCCTGCCTAGGGCGCATGTTGCATGATATGAACTTTAAATGGACACGTGTTCCACTAGCTGAGCACACTGGCTTTCTGGATTGTAGAAACGCAACACTTGACAGGGATGATCGTATTCTTCAATACATATTTGTCGTGTTTTCAAATCGCGTAAACAAAAAGTCACAACGACAAAACGGCGTGTGAAACAACAGCAGACAACTACCGCCTTCATGGTTGATAGTAAACGGTGGAGTTGTTAGCAGGTTAGGTGTGTGGATGTGATCAAACTTAACTCATTCAGAATGTAGTGGAGTATTTAGTTAGTTTTGTTCAAACCCTCATGTGTGTTATTTACTTCACCAAGTAACTCCATTCAGTAGGCCTTCCTGACTAAACCAAACCCTCACTGCAGCCAACAGCCAGGGAGCAGAAAGTTTCACAACACTGATGCGCGAAGGTCCAATAAGCTAGTTAACCATCTCCAATACGTTTGCAGAGTTAGTTTGCAAAAAAAATAGTGGCTAACTAACTACTCCGTGGTAGTTAGTGTGCTATCTTCTACCAATTCAAACTAGCAAGTTAGCGTTAGCTGGCTAACATGAGCTGGAACGTGTAGCCGCTATCGTTAGCCCACATGCTATCCAACCCATAAAAAGGCAATGTAAAGCGGACAAAATGTGCAAGGTTGGTCGCAACCTTATTCATTATGCACCATGAACTGTTTGCTTTTCTCAACAAATGTATTCTGTTAAACTTGCACAGTTTGCAAGTGGCCGGATAACGAAAACGTTAGCTAACAAGTTAGCTAGCTTTATTACATGAAATAAAACTAACTAGCGGTTAGCTACATTGCATTGGCGCACCGGATAACTTGCCAATTTACTAGCTATATATCGGTCGTACTAGTCGTAAAATAACGGTAAGCTAGTGAGTAATAGTTTATGCAAATTAAAAGGTATTTGACAAGTTAGCGAACACTAAACCAAGTTAGTTGATACAGGGCTAGCTAAAACGTTGGTGGTTGGGTAGCAGAGATACACGCAGTGAGGCTGCAGCTTGCTAACAGCGGCTAACAGCGGCTAACAGCTTGCTAACAGCTTGCTAACAGCTTGCTAACAGCTTGCTAACAGCGGCTAACAGCGGCTAACAGCTTGCTAACAGCGGCTAACAGCTTGCTAACCGCCGATTGTTCGGTGAAACAACTTTCCTAAACCATTCGCATGCATAACGGCCTCACTATTGGTCGACTTCATAATAAAATGTCGAGTACATAAGGTTTACGCTTCACTTCCGATCACACTTGATTGCGACCGATTAATGGTTTATTGAAAAACGGTTTATGAAGCTAGTTGGAGAATTACTCACCTGACTTCCGCGAATCGTGTGCTGCACACAGTGTGGTCCACGACCGGCCGCTCATCAACATGCAACACTACATTTTCCGCTGTTGCAGAGAGAATAGCAGAGAGGAGGTTTGTTCGCTGTTGCAGAGAGGAGGTTTGTTCGCTGTTGCAGAGAGGAGGTTTGTTCGCTGTTGCAGAGAGGAGGTTTGTTCGCTGTTGCAGAGAGGAGGTTTGTTCGCTGTTGCAGAGAGGAGGTTTGTTCGCTGTTGCAGAGAGGAGGTTTGTTCGCTGTTGCAGAGAGGAGGTCTATGGGCCAAACCATGGCTTGGTGACCAAATGTTGTGGGGCCCGTTGCACCCAATGCAATGTCTCACATCTGAGACAATGGTTCTATCATAGTAAAATGTTGTTGCCACATGCACATTTTGAGAATAATTCAAAAGTAACCTTTATAATTTCTTAATCATTATTCATAACCCAGAAATAAAGGGTCCCTTATAATGAAATTAGTAGTTCAGAATCTTTTTTTGATGAGATGCTCCTATTAGTTGCTAAAAATGACGTGATGATAGACATGTTTTTGGTCCACAATTGAATGAAACGTACGTTTCCATACAAAATGTTGTACTTTGATCTTAAAACCGTAACATGCACTGCAATTACTATTATTACATGGTAGGTAAAACAAACCGGTGTAGAGAAATCATGTTTGGACAGAACAGTTACACTATTCAACAGTTCCCTTTCATCGTCAGGGTTTAATAGAATCATAGAACCAGAATCAGCCAATCAGAACAGACGTGTTTAGTAATCTGCATTAGGCCATATAGTTCACATGGCTACAGCATTCTTTACATCGTTTCCTTGGCCTTTCAGTGACCACATACCATAAGCAACACCATACCCTTATACACAAATGAATGCCTTCTTTCACTGACAAAACTGATGAAGATTATGATTTGATCGTTTGTTATGTAATTCTGTACATTTCAAAGACAAAAGATGTCCACAGAAGTTTGTGATTCATCGAGTACATATTATGCAGTGAGTGAGCAGTTTTACATGCAATTTAAGTGCGTCAGGGTTGGGGTCAATTCCATTTGAATTCCGTTCCACATTTTTCTCACAGAGAAGCATTGAGGAAAACCGGAATTGGAATTTCAGTTTACTTCCTAAATAGAAATGGGATTGACCCCAACCCTGGCTTGTTTGAGTGAGTGGGGTCCCCTCTAAAGCATGCATTCTTTACTGACTAAGCATACCGACCACATTTTTTTTTTTTACAAAAAGGCTATTAACATCATATGCCTGCACACTATTTCCCATGGGCTCTGGCCAAAAGTAGTGCACTATATAGGGAATAGGATCCCATTTGGGACATACAGTAAATCAGCCCCCCTGGTCTGGCCAATGGGGGGGGTGAATAAGGAAGTGGTGGGACTCTGGACTCACGTTAGTTCTTCTAACCATTCTATTATTATTATATTATTATTAACCATGATGCACTGCTACATTGAAATACATATCAGACATTGTGTGAGCATGCCATCATCTTCACCCATCTACAGTGAAAAAACATACCAGTCCTTCTTGAGACTACATATTCTACATTTACATTTGTCATTTAGCAGACGCTCTTATCCAGAGCGACTTACAAATTGGTGCATTCACCATTGATAGCCAGTGGGACAACCACAGCAGTAATCCAGACGGGAGATGACAAGTGCCTGGATTAGGACCTGTGCCGCTTTCTGTGTAAGGTAGGGTCGTACTCTGCGAATGTTGTAGAGCATGAACCTACAGGATCGGGTCACCGCCTTGATGTTAGCGGAGAACGACAGGGTGTTGTCCAGGGTCACGTCTAGTTACCGCTAGTTACTTAGTATATCCCTTGTTTATAATCTTTAAGATCTTTCTTCACTTTAAGGAACATGTAAGAGCTTGTACTTATCTAACCATTCAATTCTTGGACAGTATTTTATTTCCCCTAAGGACGGTTAAGATGCATTGTGATTCTTCTAGCTTTTCCACTTACACCACACAAGACATAAGATTGACGTCTAAGAGTGACATCGGCTCAATTTTGGTCAAGAGAAAACAAAAAAATGAACATGGCATGCAGAAAAATCATTTTAGCTGCACACAAAATTCATAAATGCTTGGTTCTGGAAACGACCGGACACCGTTTCCATGCATTATTCTACAGTGCTAATAGAAATGAGATATTTATACATCTATGTACAAACATGACTGTCATCATATCATTTTCAGACATGTTTATTCCTTCTGCCCAACAGTCAAGAAGAGCTGTCATGTTGCGGTGGTCAAGGAAGTCCTTTGATCGAATGCTTTTGAAATAAAAAGCCAAGTGCAAAATAAAAGGCTTTAGTTGTTGTTGTTGTTTTCCTCAGGGCTGGCGTTGGGGTTTCCTGTTGGGGTAGTTAGTTATGTAGTGTTAAACAGAGCGCGTCTCCACCTCGATCTTCTCCTCGCACTGCGAGGAGGCCTCTGGTTCGGGGTGAGAGACGTTGGGCCGGACCGTGACGACCGGACCCCCTCCGTGGACAGAGTGGAGGAAGTTCCAGGTCTCCTCCGAGATCTGCCCCGAGTCGGCGCCTAGAGGAGCAGCACAGAGACGGTTTATACACATTACAAACTCAACCTGCCCAGAGTCAAGACACGGTTAACCCCATGTCATTATAATCATCACAGTCCTAATCATTTACATTTACATTTAAGTCATTTAGCGGACGCTCTTATCCAGAGCGACTTACAGGAGCAATTAGGGTTAAGTGCCTTGCTCAAGGGCACATCGACAGATTTTTCACCTAGTCGGCTCGGGGATTAGAACCAGCGACCTTTCGATTACTGGCACAACGCTCTTAACCACTAAGCTACCTGCCTAATAATCTCCCCAGAGTCCAAAAGGGGTCAACACTCACCTTGACGTCATAATAATAATAATAATCATCTAGTCATGTCAGGGCAACACAGCAGGGTATATGTTGGGCTCAATTCAATTTCTAATTCAGAAAATTCTGAGAGTTTAATTGAAAGTTGTCTTTCTTTGAAAGAGTCTGGCTCTTACCTTGTTTGAGTGTTAGATGACCATTCTTGTTGATCGCTATCTTGGCGTTATCGATTGGTCCTGGTGGCTCTTTAAGAGAGAAGAGGGCAAAACAATTAATACACATATTACATCCTTAAATACTACATTTTTGGATTCCATTTAATATAAAGAGGAGATTAGATTACATTTTCACATTTACGTCATTTAGCAGACGCTCTTATCCAGAGCGACTTCCAATTAGTGAGTGCATACATTTTGTCATAAAATTTGAAGAGGCATTTGTCCTTCTACCATTCACTGGCCACTACAGTGAAGGGGAACATTTACTGCTAGTCCTGAGGCCACAGCTAGGGACTCCCAGTGCTCTAGCCACTCACCATTGTCCTTTCCCTTGACGAAGCCCTCCCACTCTCTGAACCAACCACTCACCATTGTCCTTTCCCTTGACGAAGCCCTCCCACTCTCTGAACCAACCACTCACCATTGTCCTTTCCCTTGACGAAGCCCTCCCACTCTCTGAACCACTGCATGCTAATGCAGTATATGACCACTGGAGACTCCTCCTCCTGGAACGCCTTGTTCAGCTGGTGGGGGGAGGAGAGGGAGGGGGGAGGAGAGAGGGAGGGAGGGAGGAGGAGAGGGAGGAGGAGAGGGAGGGAGGAGGAGAGGGAGGGAGAGATGTAGAGGAAGAAATATGATTGAAAGTAAGAAATGGGAGATCATGATTTCACTTAGATTAGAAATTAATTTATGTTCCGCTCGCTTTGCTCTCTCTCTCTCATTATGTGACATTTCGAAAATCGAGTACACTTTAAATGCCCAGATGTCATATTCATTTCGGCTTTGACAACAGCTAATAATCAGCAGTCAATTATATATTTGGCTACCGAAATCAACCAATAGCGGTACAAAACACAATCACGCAAAAAAATCTAGTCTGCTATAAATGCCAGGATGTTATACTAAATTTTCACCTGGTAGAATTTGTTGCACACTTGTTGGGATTTTCAGCCAAAATGCATTGGAAGAGGGGGGCGGCGAGTTTTGATAGCTAGATCTCAAATCACATTTTATTTGTCACATGCTTTGTAGACAACAGGTGTAGACTAACAGTGAAATGTTTACTTACGGCTCCTTTTTCAACTATGCAGAGTTAAAGATAAGATACAAATAAAAAATAAAATAAAAATGGCTACCATAAAACTTAAATTAAAAGCTGAGTCTCTAATAGCCGACAACCTTTTACTATCTGGCCAACGGCACACACCTGTTTCAAATAAACATCTGGTCTAAATGAAGTGTTTAAGAAGTTACCATGAATTGTTTTTACGAGGTTTAATGTTTCATTTGTTACATTAAATAACTCAGTAATTACAAAAAATTATGGTAAACATCAGTTTCTATCACCAGTAACAAACTGCTAGCCATTAGCTGTTAACAGCCGAGAACTACTAGCTAACTGGCAAGCACAAAAACAGTCAACAACTTCGGGAGCACAGACCCCTAGAAATCGGCTGATCACCCTCTAGTGGCGAAATTAAGAACTGTCGAAATTGCAGTCAGAGGAGAATAACTGTTAAAATATTATTATTTCATTTTTTTTTGTATAGGAATACTAAGACAACAGAAACTAGCAAAATAATACATCTTCAAATATAACTAATTGGAACACAAAAGTATTCAATCAACATAGTGGAGATAAAAACAGAGTGAACAGAAGACATAGAAGGCACAGTATGTGGGGATGAATTGTGATGGAAGGTGTGGTGTGCGTTTTTGTGTTTGAATAAGTGTGGCGTTAAGTGAGTGAGAAAGGAAATGGTTTCATATCCCAGAACCAACGTGTGTCTGTGAGCAGGGGTTGTGAGAGAGAGCTTTCAATTTTGTGCAGATGAGGGATATATATTTTAAAATAAAAGATACATCTAATTAATTGTTTTATTGTCCTATCACGATGGAACGGTCCCCAATCCTATATCCTAGACACCCACCTGAGCGACTCATACACCAAAGAGAAGTCCCCATCTGTTTTATGGACCTGCTGTGAGTTGCCTATATGCAGCCTAAACAGAAAGATAAATGCGGTCAGAGACCTACGAGAGCAGCACCGCCCCCTCAAGATTCTGAGCCTGCCTGGCAGGGTTGGTCCTACAAAGCCAGAGCCCCCTGATGGGAGAGCATAATATACAAGGAAATTCTCAAAGCTGCTAATGAGAACCTTGACGACCTTGTACCTAGCCGGTGGGGATTCCGGTGGGGTACCCCCACCCAGGTAGTGGCAGTGCTGGCAACACTGGCTGCAGTAACCAATGGGGAGGGGGTCACACTCGGACAATCAGAGAGGGGGCATATTATTGTGGCCCTGGTGGCACAAAATAATCAAAAGGTCTGACTGCACAGAGATGCGTGGGAAAATGGTCACAACGGGGGACCAGAGTGTGTGTTTCAGGGGAAGGATCTGATCTCCATCACCTACACTACCGGTCAAAAGCTTTAGAACACCTACTCATTCCAGGGTTTTTCTTTCTTTTTACTATTTTCTACATTGTAGAATAATAGTGAAGACATCAAAACTATGAAATAACACATATGGAATCATGTAGTAACCAAAAAAGGGTTAAACAAATCAAAATACACTGCTCAAAAAAATAAAGGGAACACTTAAACAACACAATGTAACTCCAAGTCAATCACACTTCTGTGAAATCAAACTGTCCCCTTAGGAAGCAACACTGACTGCCAGAGCCCTGCAAAATGACCTCCAGCAGGCCACAAATGTGCATTTGTCTGCTCAAACGGTCAGAAACAGACTCCATGAGGGTGGTATGAGGGCCCGACATCCACAGGTGGGGGTTGTGCTTACAGCCCAACACCGTGCAGGACGTATGGCATTTGCCAGAGAACAAGATTGGCAAATTCGCCACTGGCGCCCTGTTCTCTTCACAGATGAAAGCAGGTTCACACTGAGCACGTGACAGACGTGACAGAGTCTGGAGACGCTGTGGAGAACGTTCTGCTGCCTGCAACATCCTCCAGCATGACCGGTTTGGCGGTGGGTCAGTCATGGTGTGGGGTGGCATTTCTTTGGGGGGCCGCACAGCCCTCCATGTGCTCGCCAGAGGTAGCCTGACTGCCATTAGGTACAGAGATGAGATCCTCAGACCCCTTGTGAGACCATATGCTGGTGCGGTTGGCCCTGGGTTCCTCCTAATGCAAGACAATGCTAGACCTCAAGTGGCTGGAGTGTGTCAGCATTTCCTGCAAGAGGAAGGCATTGATGCTATGGACTGGCCCGCCCGTTCCCCAGACCTGAATCCAATTGAGCACATCTGGGACATCATGTCTCGCTCCATCCACCAACGCCACGTTGCACCACAGACTGTCCAGGAGTTGGTGGATGCTTTAGTCCAGGTCTGGGAGGAGATCCCTCAGGAGACCATCCGCCACCTCATCAGGAGCATGCCCAGGCGTTGTAGGGAGGTCATACAGGCACGTGGAGGCCACACACACTACTGAGCCTCATTTTGACTTGTTTTAAGGACATTACATCAAAGTTGGATCAGCCTGTAGTGTGGTTTTGCACTTTAATTTTGAGGGTGACTCCAAATCCAGACCTCCATGGGTTGATCAATTTGATTTCCATTGATAATTTTTGTGTGATTTTGTTGTCAGCACATTCAACTATGTAAAGAAAAAAGTATTTAATAAGATTATGTCATTCATTCAGATCTAGGATGTGTTGTTTAAGTGTTCCCTTTATTTTTTTGAGCAGTGTATATTTTATATTTGAGATTCTTGAAAGTAGCCACCCTTTGCCTTGACAGCTTTGGACGCTCGCATTGCAAACCGCATCCACCGATGTCGCACTTCGGCATCTGGGGTGAAAGGTGACAGAGATGGATCAGTGTTTGTCAGACCATGAGACATCCAGAAAATCTGTCTTCTCACAAAATCGTCTGTAGCGTCCGAACAGTTTGAGCTACCAATCTGAGGAAAGGTGAGACTTTCACGAACACGTCGGTTGTTTTTGCTCTAGGACGCCCACAGGCCTCACAAGAAAACGCTAGTTTTCATTGCAAAACGGAACTGTTTGGAGTAATGATTTCACCCCTGTGTTATGGTGAAAGTAATGGTAAGCTGCACTCGTTACGGTTTCACCTTGGCACTCCAATTTGATGAAGTATGTGGCAGTCTAGCTAGCTACAGAAAGTTGACAACTCTACTTGGCTCATGTTTTGGTTAATGTTGTACTTCATCTTGTGTCTTTTCAGGATCTTTGTGAAGGAGTGTGGGCTGGAGGGGAAGCTGTCACCTGCATGGGTGAAGAAGAGGTGGGAGATAATACACTGCAGCTTCCTCTCCCTCCCAGAGGGGTCCAGATGTCGAGGCGGGAGGAGGAAGTGACTGCCAGGGAGGCCTGCCTTATGGCCATGATTAAGTATGTATTTTATTTATAGCTATTATTTTATTCATTTTCATTATTTTAAGTCCTTTTTTTTCAACCCAAAGTGGATTTCTGTTTTCCCACTGAAAATAGTTTCTTGTTTGTATATATATATATATATTTTTTTTATTGATACCAGTATATCTACTCTTGGTGTGTTTAACTTTCAAATGTCAAAAATGTACTTGCACATCTGAGCCATCTTGGTAACAGCTAGATCAGTTGAAAGAAAAAAGAAACCTGCACAACGTTTCGGCCGTGGCATACTGCATACTTAACAGTACGTAGTACAATTAGTACACAGTACGCAGTACAATTAGTACACAGTACGCAGTTTAACTTAGTAGTAGGCAAGCCAGATAGTACAGGTATTAGCTGCAGTCAGTCAGTGTGTCTATAGTATGGGTGGTATTAGCTGCAGTCAGTCAGTGTGTCTATAGTATGGGTGGTATTAGCTGCAGTCAGTCAGTGTGTCTATAGTATGGGTGGTATTAGCTGCAGTCAGTCAGTGTGTCTATATTATGGGTGGTATTAGCTGCAGTCAGTCAGTGTGTCTATATTATGGGTGGTATTAGCTGCAGTCAGTCAGTGTGTCTATAGTATGGGTGGTATTAGCTGCAGTCAGTCAGTGTGTCTATATTATGGGTGGTATTAGCTGCAGTCAGTCAGTGTGTCTATAGTATGGGTGGTATTAGCTGCAGTCAGTCAGTGTGTCTATATTATGGGTGGTATTAGCTGCAGTCAGTCAGTGTGTCTATAGTACGGGTGATATTAGCTGGCAGTCAGTCAGTGTGTCTATAGTATGGGGTGGTATTAGCTGCAGTCAGTCAGTGGTGGTCTAGAGTATGGGTTGGTATTAGCTGCAGTCAGTCATGTGGTTCTATATTATGGTGTGGTATGAGCTGTGCAAGTCAGTCAGTGTGTCTATATTATGGGTGGTATTAGCTGCAGTCAGTCAGTGTGTCTGTATTATGGGTGGTATTTAGCTGACAGCAGGTCCATCTGTCTCCATGCATTAATGATGACCCACTGTCTCGGTCTCAGCCCCAGCCCCTGGTCTCCCGCTGGGGCAGAGGGCCCCTTCTAGTCATTCTATTTCTACGGCTTCAGCACAGACACCATCAGTCAGCTCATCAGACCAGAGAATACCCCTTCACACACAAGCTGCCTTCTGATTCCCCACTAGGAATAGCAAAATTCTGTTAACTTTCCCGAAATTCACAGGTTTTCCAGAAATCCTGGTTAGAAGATTCCAGGAATCAGGAGGGGGGGGAATAAGCAGGAAATCCTGGGAATTTCGGGAAGGTTAGTGGAATTTGTGCACCGTTCTCCATTGATTTAAAATTAGAGGCAATTTCCACCATATTAATCCTTACCCGGACAAACATGTCCAACTCAGTCTTGCGTCTCTTCTCCAGTTTCTCAATCTCCGTCTGGCAGGTGTGACACACGTACAGGTGGTTGACAGCAGGCCCGCCTCCGTACCTGAACAGACCAATCACAGCTTAGTAACACACCTGACCAGTGACCACAGTTACAGACTTCAGCCTCTTGGGCATAATAGTTTAACTAGAATATAATGTATCTCTAATGGGTGTTAACCTGCTGTAGACGTTAGGACATTATCTCTTCATTAGAATATCTACCTGCTGTAGAGGTTAGGACATTATCTCTTCATTAGAATATCTACCTGCTGTAGAGGTTAGGACATTATCTCTTCATTAGAATATCTACCTGCTGTAGAGGTTAGGACATTATCTCTTCATTAGAATATCTACCTGCTGTAGAGGTTAGGACATTATCTCTTCATTAGAATATCTACCTGCTGTAGACGTTAGGACATTATCTCTTCATTAGAATATCTACCTGCTGTAGAGGTTAGGACATTATCTCTTCATTAGAATATCTACCTGCTGTAGAGGTTAGGGACATTATCTCTTCATTAGAAATTCTACCCTGCTGTAGACGTTAGGACATTATCGTTCCTTCATTAAGAATATCGACCTGCTGTAGAGGTTAGGACATTATCTCTTCATTAGAATATCTACCCTGCTGTAAGGAGGGTAGAGGACATTAAGTCTCTTCATTAGAAATATCTACCTGCTGTAGAGGTTAGGGACATTATCTCTTCATTCAGAATATCTACCTGGCTGTAGACGGTTAGGACATTATCTCTCTTCATTAGAATAGCTACCTGCTGTAGAGGTGTAGGAACATGAACTCCTTCATTAGAAATCTACCTGCTGTAGAGGTTAGGACATTATCTCTTCATTAGAATATCTACCTGCTGTAGAAGGTTAGGACATTATCTCTTCATTAGAATACTACCTGCTGTAGAGGTTTAGGAACATTATCGCTTCATTGAATATCTACCTGCTGTAGAGGTTAGGACATTATCTCTTCATTAGAATATCTACCTGCTGTAGAGGTTAGGACATTATCTCTTCATTAGAATATCTACCTGCTGTAGAGGTTAGGACATTATCTCTTCATTAGAATATCTACCTGCTGTAGAGGTTAGGACATTATCTCTTCATTAGAATATCTACCTGCTGTAAGAGGTTAGGACATTATCTCTCATTAGAATATCTACCTGCTGTAGAGGTTAGGACATTATCTCTTCATTAGAATATCTACCTGCTGTAGAGGTTAGGACATTATCTCTTCATTAGAATATCTACCTGCTGTAGAGGTGGTCCCACACATTCTGAGGCAGCATCACTACCAGATCATCGATGAACGCTGCCTTGGCAGGTGGCACACCTGATAACACAACACCATTTAAACACACTATAACCACGTCATTATGAGCTTCATTTAGTCAATAACACTGAGTAGACACATTCATTAGGTATATGTTGTGAAATTGTTAGATATTACTGCACTGTCGGAGCTAGAAATTTGATTTGATTTGATTAGGCCCCATTTCCTTTTCTCTCAACTTTTATTGATAAAATGACTGACTAGTACAAGCCATCGATTGATTGGTTGGTTGACTGACAGATTCAGCTAGATATAGTTATCTCTGCACCTCCGTGTGAGCAGAGGAAGTCGTCGTTGGAGATAGGTCCAGGCTCAGCGAAGGTCTTGAACTTGTTGAGCCACTGTCTGGAGACGTAGAACTGTAGCAGACTGGCCTCCGTCATGTTGAGTAGACCCGTCACCCTCCTCCTCTCCTTCGGAGCGTCCTCGTTGCTCTTCCTGGAGGGGAACACACATCATTAACGCTAAACTAAAGAAAATCAGATTGGCACTAGTCAGGGTCTGTAGCACAGCAGGACAACTTCCTTTCTTACAGAAAACAATTATACTGAACAAAAATATCAACGCTACATGTAAAGTGTTGGTCCCATGTTTCATGAGCTGAAATAAAATATCCCAGAAATGTTCTGTACGGACAAAAAGCTTATTTCTCTCAAATTACGTGCACAAATTTGTTTACATCCCTGTTAGTGAGCATTTCTCCTTTGCCAAGATAATCCATCCACCTGACAGGTGTGGCATATCAAGAAGCTGATTAAACAGCATGATCATTACACAGGTGCACCTTGTGCTGGGGACAATAAAAGGCCACTAAAATGTGCAAGTTTTGAGGGAGCGTGCAATTGGCATGCTGACTGCATGAATCTCCAACAGAGCTGTTGCCAGATAATTGAATGTATACTGGGTATATAACTTAAAAGCATGACTGACATGTATTGGGGTGCACAATCGTGGATTTATTTAAAAACCATTAGAGTCTCTCTTTATTAGCCCGAGTTAGAAACGGCCGCAACTTGGCATTGTTCCTCAGGCGGTAAAAAGCTGTTTTGGTCACATTCCTAATGTGCGATTCGAAATTTAGTTCAGAATCTAAAATAACACCTAGGTTTTTAACCTGGTGTTTCATCTTTATTGCCAGTGAATTATAATGTGCGGCCAGATTCTCTCTCTGTGCTTTGACTCCAACAACAAGTACCTCGGTCTTGTTTTGATTTAGCTGGAGGAAGTTGTGAGCCATCCAAGTAGTCCCCTGTAGCTGAGTTGGTAGAGCATGGCGCTTGCAACGGCAGGGTTGTGGGTTCGTTTTCCCACGGGGGGCCAGTATGAAAATGTATGCACTCACTAACTGTAAGTCGCTCTGGATAAGAGCGTCTGCTAAAATGACTAAAATGTAAAAAAAATTAGTGTAAGTATTTAAATCAATAATACAGTCAAATTTATCCATGGAGCTAAAATCCTCTGGTGAGACAGAAATGTAAAGTTGTGTATCGTCAGCGTAGCAGTGAAAATCAATGCTGTGCTTTCTGATAACGCTGCCAAGGGGTAACATATATAAACTGAACAGTACCGGACCCAAAATCGAACCCTATGGAACGCCACATGTGATATGTATTTTCTCTGAGTTATGTTCACCAAGGGTGACAAAAAACAACAACTCTCGACCGGTTAAATAGGTCCTAAACCAGAACTGGACCGGAGAGGCCATCACCTCATGTTTCAGCATGATAATGCACGTCTCCATGTCGCAAGGATCTGTGCACAATTCCTGGAAGCTGAAAATGTCCCAGTTCTTCCATGGCCTGCATACCCACCAGACATGTCACCCATTGAGCATGTTTGGGATGCTTTGGATCGACGTGTACGACAGCGTGTTCCAGTTCCCACCAATATCCAGCCAACTTCGCACAGCCATTGAAGAGGAGTGGGAACAACATTCCACAGGCCACAATCAACAGCCTGATCAACTCTGTGAAGGAGATGTGTCGCGCTGCATGAGGCAAATGGTGGTCACACCAGATATTGACTGTTTTCTGATCCACACCCCTACCTTTTAAAAAAAGGTATCTGTGACCAACAGATGCATATCTGTATTCCCAGTCATGTAAACTCCATAGATTAGGGCCTGATGAATTTATTTCAATTGACTGATTTCCTTATATTAACTAACACAGTAAAATCTTTTAAAATGTTGCGTTTCTATTTTTGTTCAGTGTAAATGATAATCTGTAACGCTGCCACTGCCTCAAGGGAGGCTCAAATCTGTAAACAGGAAGTCACCCCACAGGGTATCATTACATCATAGATTTGCTCTTGGGTTGGTGGTTATGCTGTGTTGCTTTGTGCACAGAGATCCTATTAAATGACTGTCATTCTATGGTTTTGTCTATAAATGACTGATGTAATTGTATGGTTTTGTGTCTTACTTGTAGAAGAGGACGTAGGCCTCAGCGTTCTGGACACAGGACTCTGACACCTCGGTGACGCTCTGGTCATCAAACTCATACCACAGGTTATTCAGGTCATTCCTGCAGTAGGCTATGTAGTGACCACCTGGGGGGAGAGGAGGAGGTTATTAACCAGGTATAGACTAAGAGTGATGCTTAGTAACCAGGTATAGACTAAGAGTGATGCTTAGTAACCAGGTATAGACTAAGAGTGACGCTTAGTAACCAGGTATAGACTAAGAGTGACGCTTAGTAACCAGGTATAGACTAAGAGTGACGCTTAGTAACCAGGTATAGACTAAGAGTGACGCTTAGTAACCAGGTATAGACTAAGAGTGATGCTTAGTAACCAGGTATAGACTAAGAGTGACGCTTAGTAACCAGGTATAGACTAAGAGTGACGCTTAGTAACCAGGTATAGACTAGAGTGACGCTTAGTAACCAGGTATAGACTAAAGTGACGCTTAGTAACCAGGTATAGACTAAGAGTGACGCTTAGTAACCAGGTATATACTAAGAGTGACGCTTAGTAACCAGGTATAGACTAAGAGTGACGCTTAGTAACCAGGTATAGACTAAGAGTGACGCTTAGTAACCAGGTATAGACTAAGAGTGATGCTTAGTAACCAGGTATAGACTAAGAGTGATGCTTAGTAACCAGGTATAGACTAAGAGTGATGCTTAGTAACCAGGTATAGACTAAGAGTGATGCTTAGTAACCAGGTATAGACTAAGAGTGACGCTTAGTAACCAGGTATAGACTAAGAGTGATGCTTAGTAACCAGGTGTAGACTAAGAGTGATGCTTAGTAACCAGGTGTAGACTAAGAGTGATATGCTACTTACATCCCAACAATGCAGAGATTGATTTTTTTTCAATAACAGAACAATAATAACACAAGTAATAAATCCACAATGAGTAACGATGACTTGGCTATAAACACGGAGTAGCAGTTAGCTAGACAAGAAGAGCATGGTAGTGAGAGTAACGTCAACCACTGCATGGATGTATCCTAATCTCAATGAATCACTTTCAGTCTTTCATTATACATCATAGGAGTGCCAACCAAAAACAACCTACCTGACAATGTCAGACTACAATATCTGTTCAACAACACTCAGAACAAATAGAGCTGAGACAACTCCCCAATCTACACATTACCATACCTATTCTACGTTCATAACAAATAGAGCTGAGACAACTCCCCAATCTACACATTACCATACCTATTCTACGTTCATAACAAATAGAGCTGAGACAACTCCCCAATCTACACATTACCATACCTATTCTACGTTCATAACAAATAGAGCTGAGACAACTCCCCAATCTACACATTACCATACCTATTCTACGTTCATAACAAATAGAGCTGAGACAACTCCCCAATCTACACATTACCATACCTATTCTACGTTCAGAACAAATAGAGCTCAGACAACTCCCCAATCTACACATTACCATACCTATTCTACGTTCAGAACAAATAGAGCTGAGACAACTCCCCAATCTAGACATTACCATACCTATTCTACGTTCATAACAAATAGAGCTGAGACAACTCCCCAATCTACACATTACCATACCTATTCTACGTTCAGAACAAATAGAGCTGAGACAACTCCCCAATCTAGACATTACCATACCTATTCTACGTTCATACATTTCTATCTGAATGCTCTGTAACATCCTCCCATCTCAGAGGGGGATTGGCCAGTGGCCCGGACGGAGGAACACTCACTGCTGGCGGTGCCATGGTGACAGATGACCGACAGCAGGTCGTAGGAGGTGGTGTGGGCGGAGCTGTCCTTGGCCAGGAAGGGCTGCAGGTCCAGGCCCTCCAATGGGAAGGAGACGTGAGTCCCGATCTTAGTGGAGAACATCAGCTCATGTCTAAACCGCTTCAGGTGGATACACAGGATCTGGACAGGATTACAAATAATGTAATAATGATATTCAACGACTCTTTCGATTCAACAATGAACCGACTCTGATTTAGTTGCTGTGACATGATGAACGTCGTGGAGCGCTCACCTCTGGTACACTCTGAACTTTGCAGAATTTCACTCCATTCCGTAATCTATGAGAATAAAGAAAAGCAGTCTTTATTAAATCTTTATTCGTGTAGAAGTTCCATTCAGTCATGTATCTAACAATAATTTAAATATCCTTTTTAAAGTCTGAGTTTGGGAGGTGCTCACTTCTTGCATTTCTCACAGCTGTACATGTTGTCTCCTTTCAGCTCGTCCCGGGCGAAGAAGGCAGCCAGGCAGTCCTGTAGGGTCACCACAGGTCCCCAGAACCAGCTGGAACACAAGGACACAGTCACAGCTTAGAGTTGTACCATTAACAGAATAGACGTCACACAACTTACTAACAATGTGTTTATCGGCTTTAACGAAGGAATATCTGGGGTTTTCTGGTCGAGTCACATGCTCAGGAAAAACTGTTGACCCCCCTATACAACACACTTGGTGTCAGCAGACTATCCACTATGACCTATAACCCCTATATGTTGACCCCCTATACAACACACTTGGGGCCTACGGAGCTGTGAGGGGAACGGCACCTCCGTACCTTCAGGCTCTGATCAGACCCTACACCCAAACGAGGGCATTGCGTTCATCCACCTCTGGCCTGCTGGCTCCCCTTCCTCTGCGGAAGCACAGTTCCCGCTCAGCCCAGTCAAAACTGTTCGCTGCTCTGGCACCCCAATGGTGGAACAAGCTCCCCCACGACGCCAGGACAGCGGAGTCACTGACCACCTTCCCCACCCCCCCATAAAAAAAAAAGTGGTTGTCCCACTGGCTATCCTAAGTTGAATGCACCAATTTGTAAGTCGCTCTGGATAAGAGCGTCTGCTAAATGACTTAAATGTACATGTAAATTTCAACTTGTAAAAGCCAGCGCTCTGCTTAATATACCTTCTCTTATATTACATTTACATTTTAGTCATTTAGCAGACGCTCTTATCCAGAGCGACTTCCAGTTAGTGAGTCATTTAGCAGATGCTCTTATCCAGAGAGACTTCCAGTCAGTGAGTTCATCCATTATTTTATTCATCAGCTCGCTTGCGCTGAGGCGGGAGAGGTGGAAATATTTTAGGTGTCCTTCAAACCGTGCGCCAATGTGCCAGTTTCAGGCAGCGCTACTGGTGGTATTGAAGACTAGAAGCTGGTCTTAGCGGTAACGCAACTGGTTATGGCATCTATTGTCAGTGGAGGCGCACAGCAGCCTAACCAGCAGCCTAACCAGTAGCCTAACCAGTACCCTAAACCAGTAGCCTAACCAGTAACCCTAACCAGCAGCCTAACCCAGCATTCCTAACCAGTTACCCTAAACCAGTAGGCCTAACCAAGTACCCTAACCAGCAGCCCTAACCAGCATCCTAAACCGGCAGCCTAACCGGACAGCCCTAACCGGTACCCCTAAAACCGGTACCCTAACCAGCAGCCTAAACCAGTACCCTAACCCAGTTAGCCATAACCAGTAGCCTAACCAGTAGCCTAACCAGCAGTACCAGTAGCCTAACCGCTCCTAACCAGCAGCAACATACCCTAACGCAGTACCTACCAGCAGCCTAACCAGTACCCTACCCAGTAGCCTAACCAGAGCCTTTAAACCAGCAGCCTACCAGTAGCTAACCAGCAGCCTCAACCAGCACTAACCAGCAGCCTAACAGCGCCTACCAGCAGCCTAACCAGTACCCTAACCAGCAGCCTAACCAGCAGCCTAACCAGCAGCCTAACCAGCAGCCTAACCAGCAGCCTAACCAGTAGCCTAACCAGCAGCCTAACCAGTAGCCTAACCAGCAGCCTAACCAGCAGCCTAACCAGTAGCCTAACCAGCAGCCTAACCAGTACCCTAACCAGTACCCTAACCAGCAGCCTAACCAGTAGCCTAACCAGCAGCCTAACCAGTAGCCTAACCAGCAGCCTAACCAGTAGCCTAACCAGCAGCCTAACCAGTACCCTAACCAGCAGCCTAACCAGCAGCCTAACCAGCAGCCTAACCAGCAGCCTAACCCGCAACGTTTATTTAAAATATCAAGAGCAGCAAAACAGTCAACAGACATTCCCATTGTATCTTTATAATGGACGTTGTTTTTGTCCTTGCAGCTTCTGTGAAAAGTTTGGACTCATTAGGTCTATGTGCGATGCCCATTGAATGAAAGGTGCCAGTGACTGTAGGAAGTCTGTTTAGGAACATCAAGTTATTACAACAGGCTGCTTATTGTTTTTCCTTGATCATTTTGTACAAAAATAGCATTTTCCACTTTCATCGGTTGGACCGAACTGTCAAATAGCGGGAATTCAGATCTCTGTCCTTGACGCTGAACCCGCTTGTAGCCTAGACTAGAGTAAAGGCTGCTGAGGGGAGAACGGCCTGTAGTAATGGCTGGAACCATGGGTTTATGGTGAGAACGGCCTGTAGTAATGGCTGGAACCATGGGTTTATGGTGAGAACGGCCTGTAGTAATGGCTGGAACCATGGGTTTATGGGGAGAACGGCCTGTAGTAATGGCTGGAACCATGGGTTTATGGTGAGAACGGCCTGTAGTAATGGCTGGAACCATGGGTTCATGGTGAGAACGGCCTGTAGTAATGGCTGGAACCATGGGTTTATGGTGAGAACGGCCTGTAGTAATGGCTGGAACCATGGGTTTATGGTGAGAACGGCCTGTAGTAATGGCTGGAACCATGGGTTTATGGTGAGAACGGCCTGTAGTAATGGCTGGAACCATGGGTTTATGGTGAGAACGGCCTGTAGTAATGGCTGGAACCATGGGTTCATGGTGAGAACGGCCTGTAGTAATGGCTGGAACCATGGGTTTATGGTGAGAACGTATATGGCTGAATGCAATGCAATTTCGTCTGCCATTTCTGGACAAGTGCCAATCTGAAACTGTGAGACGGTTCCATGGTGTTTATTGAACATGCCATTGGGGAGCAGTATACCGGTGAGTGGACGTTCCCCCCTTCTCTGTATATTGGATCTTTGTACCGCTCCTGTGGAAAGTCTGGATGTGTGTAAAACCCTCCATAGTCGAAGTTGTCTTGTCTGTGTTAAAACGCCCACAGGGAACTATAAATGGTGGCTGGTACTGTATTTAGACAGAGCCTATTTAAAACAAGCTACCCTTTCATTTTTAGTAGACCTCATCAATAGCTTTGTGAACGTAATCTTGCTTAATTTTTTATTTATTTTTTCACCCACATACATACACATCCTTAAGAAATATATATATATTCCCCTTTATTATTTTCCAACCCCGCCACCCTTTCCCCACTTGGAGTAAACTAGTGAACAACAACGCCTAGGCCTCTACTTCCAGCCCATACCCACTATCTACATTTTATGGACACAGTCAATTTTACAATAATTACATTTTGTTTGTTCTTTCTCCTGAACTTCTTCTACTCGCAACCTCTCTGATCATTTTCATGATGTCCATCCGGTTTGCTTCTAGATGCCATATCTTTCCAACTGGGCTCCTTCCGGTTTGCTTCTAGATGCCATATCTTTCTAACTGGGCTCCTTCCGGTTTGCTTCTAGATGCCATATCTTTCCAACTGGGCTCCTTCCGGTTTGCTTCTAGATGCCATATCTTTCTAACTGGGCTCCTTCCCAAAAGCTCCCAACCTACAACCCATACACTTAATCTTGCTTATTGATAACATTTGGAATGTCCATGTCCAGACTGCAATTTACACTCTGCCTAGCCCCTATATCAGTGTGAATACTAGCCTGTGTTTAACAACGTATTTCCATATCGAAGAAATGCAAATCAGAACAATGTGGACTGCAAAAATGTTCAACATACTTAGCAAATATGGGGCAGGTTATTTAACCAACTAGGCTATAACGGACTAACATTCTAATTGGAGTTGATGAAATGTCAATACATAAAAGACCGTAAATACACAACCTGAAGCAACCACATATTTAGCCATGGAGCACGTTCTGATTGGCCAGTGAGGGGTCAAGTCTCGACACTTCCACAACTTGTTTATTCATCAGAACCCAGCCCTTTCACACCGCCAGCTACTGCGCCCATAATTCCGGTTCTGAAAATAGCAATAATATTTCTGACCCCTGAACCTATAACTCTACCGCCAGCGCTAAGATTGGCCCCTGAACCTATAACGCTACCGCCAGCGCTAAGATTGACCCCTGAACCTATAACGCTAATCGCCAGCGCTAAGATTGGCCCCTGAACCTATAACGCTACCGCCAGCGCTAAGATTGGCCCCCGAACCTATAACGCTACCGCCAGCGCTAAGATTGACCCCTGAACCTATAACGCTACCGCCAGCGCTAAGATTGGCCCCTGAACCTATAAACGCTACCGCCAGCGCTAAGATTGCCAGCGCTAAGATTGGCCCCTGAACCTATAACGCTACCGCCAGCGCTAAGATTGCCAGCGCTAAGATTGGCCCCTGAACCTATAACGCTACCGCCAGCGCTAAGATTGGCCCCTGAACCTATAACGCTACCGCCAGCGCTAAGATTGGCCCCTGAACCTATAACGCTATTGCCAGCGCTAAGATTGGCCCCTGAACCTATAACGCTACCGCCAGCGCTAAGATTGACTATTGCTTAGATTTGCGTTAAGTTTGTTAAAATAGAGCCCCTGGTGTCAGACTATATACACCATGAGTTGTAGAAGGAATTGTCATGAAATCTAAATCTAAAGTTTATTTGTCAACTGCACAGGGTACAGTGGGTATAAACGGTACAGTGAAATGATTAAAAAAAACGCCACAGTGAAATGCTTAAAAAAACATCACAGTGAAATGCTTAAAAAAACATCACAGTGAAATGCTTAAAAAAACATCACAGTGAAATGCTAAACAAAAGCGGCACAGTGAAATGCCTAAAGGAGTATGTGTTGGGGACGTGTCTGTCTGCTTTTATTTACATAAGTATTCACACCCCTGGGTCAATACATGTTAGAATCACCTTTGGCAGCGATTACGGCTGTGAGTCTTATTGGTTAAGTCTCTAAGAGCTTTGCACACCTGGACTGTACAATACTTGCACATTATTCTTTTTTAAATTCTTCAAGTTCTGTCAAATTGGTTATTGAGCATTGGTAGACAGACACTTTCAAGTCTTGCCATAGATTTTGAAGCCGATTTAAGTCAAAACTCAGGAACATTCACTGCCTTCTTGGTAAGCAATTCCAGTGTAGATTTGGCCTTGTGTTTTAGGTTATTGTCCTGCTGAAAGGTGAATTAATCTCCCAGTTTCTGGTGGAAAGCAGACTGAACCAGGTTTTCCACTAGTCTCCCAGTGTCTGGTGGAAAGCAGACTGAACCAGGGTTCCACTAGTCTCCCAGTGTCTGGTGGAAAGCAGACTGAACCAGGGTTCCTCTAGTCTCCCAGTGTCTGGTGGAAAGCAGACTGAACCAGGGTTTCCTCTAGTCTCCCAGTGTCTGGTGGAAAGCAGACTGAACCAGGGTTTCCTCTAGTCTCCCAGTGTCTGGTGGAAAGCAGACTGAACCAGGGTTTCCTCTAGTCTCCCAGTGTCTGGTGGAAAGCAGACTGAACCAGGGTTTCCTCTAGTCTCCCAGTGTCTGGTGGACAGCAGACTGAACCAGGTTTTCCTCTAGGATTTTGCCTGTGCTTAGCTCCATTCCGTTTCTTTTTTTATCCTGAAAAACTCCCCAGTCCTTAACAATTACAAGCATACCCATAACATGATGCAGCCACCACTATGCTTGAGAGTGGTACACGGTAATGTGTTGTGTTGGATATTGGAAACATGACACTTTCTATTGAAGATGAAAAGTTCATTGCTTTGCCATATTTTTTTGCAGTATTACTTTAGTGCCTTGTTGCAAACAGGACGCATGTTATGGAATATTTTAATTCTGTACAGGCTTCCTTCTTTTCACTCTGTCATTTAGGTTAGTATTGTGGAGTAACTACAATGTTGTTGATCCATCCTCAGTTTTCTCCTATCACAGCCATTAAACTCTGTAACTGTTTTAAAGTCACCATTGGCCTCATGGTGAAATCCCTTAGCGGTTTCCTTCCTCTCCGGCAACTGAGATAGGAAGGACACCTGTATCTTTGTAGTGACTGGGTGTATTGATCCACCATCAAAAGCGTAATTAATAACTTCACCATGCTCAAAGGGTTATTCAATTTCAGAATTGTTTTATTTGTACCCATCTACCAATAGGTGCCCTTCTTTGCGAGGCATTGGAAAACCACCCTCTGTGGTTGAATCTATGTTTGAAATTCACTGCTTGACTGAGGGACCTTACAGTAATTGTAAAGTCTGGTTCATCCTTGGGAGTAATTTCCAAATGCCTGTAGGTACCACGTTCATCTGTACAAACAATAGTACGCAAGTATAAACACCATGGGACCACGCTGCCATCATACCGCTCAGGAAGGAGACGCGTTCTGTCTCCTAGAGATGAACGTACTTTGGTGCGAAAAGTGCAAATCAATCCCAGAACACTGCTGGAGGAAACAGGTACAAAAGTATCTATATCCACAGTAAAACAAGTCCTATATCGACACAACCTGAAAGGCCGCTCGGCAAGGAAGAAGCCACTGCTCCAAAACCGCCATAAAAAAGACAGACTACGGCTTGCAGTGGCTTCTTCCTTGAGAAATGTCCTCTGGTCTGATGTTTGGCCATAATGACCATCATTATAGAACATGTGTGGGCAGAACTGGAAAAGGCGTGTGTGAGCAAGGAGGCCTACAAACCTGACTCAGTTACACCAGCTCTGTCAGGAGGAATGGGCCAAAATTCACCCAACTTATTGTGGGAAGCTTGTGGAAGGCTACCCGAAACGTTTGACCCAAGTTAAACTATTTAAAGGCAATGCTACCAAATACTAATTGAGTGTATGCAAACTTCTGACCCACTGGGAATGTGATGAAAGAAATAAAAGCTGAAATAAATAATTATTTCTACTATTATTCTGACATTTCACATTCTTAAAATAAAGTGGTGATCCTAACTGACCTAAGACAGGGAATCTTTACTCGGATTAAATGTCAGGAATTGTGAAAAACAGAGTTTAAATGTATTTGGCTAAGGTGTATGTAAACTTCCGACTTCAACTGTATCTACAATACATTAAGTGTGTTCCCTCAGGCCACTACTCCACTACCACATATCTACAACACAAAATCCATGTGTACGTGTGTGTAGAGTGCGTATGTTATCATGTGTGTGTTACATAATACATCTCAAGTTAGGATTTGGCCCATAAGGGGCTATACTAGTTAGTCCTTACCTCTTGATGTATTCCATAACGAAGGCGACCCATCCCTGGGCTGCGTAGACCTCTCCACAGGAGCCAGCCTTGACCAGAGAGGTCTGGTGGGAGGAGGAGTGGAGCTTAGCCAGGTCCTCCTTGCCTGGGATGGGCAGGGACAGGTCCTGGAAGTTCTCCAGGGTCACTGACACCTGGAGAAGAGTGGTACGTCGTTTTATTTTATTAATTTAACCTTTATTTTCTTTTATCAGGGAGTCATACTGAGACCAAGGTCTCTTTCACAGATGAACCCTGAATTATAAAAATGACACATCAAATTCAAATACAAGCAGAAACAAAAGCCATTCATCAGTTATGTAATGTAAACATGCTGTAGAGATGAGGTATAGGGAGGTATAGGGGGTATAGGGGGGTATAGGGGGGTATAGGGAGGTATAGGGGGGTATGGAGGTATAGGGAGGTATAGGGGGGTATAGGGGGGTATAGGGAGGTATAGGGAGGTATGGGGGGTATAGGGAGGTATAGGGGAGGTATAGGGAGGTATAGGGGGGTATAGGGAGGTATGGGAGGTATGGGGTGGGTATAGGGAGTTATGGGAGGTTATAGGGAGGTATGGGAGGTATGGGGTAGGTATAGGGGTGTTTAGGGAGGTATATGGGGGTTATAGGAGGTATATGTGGTATAGGTTAGTATTAGGTGGTTAGTATAGGGGTATAGTAGGTGTATAGGGGGGTTCCATGGCGGTCTCGGGCGGTCTCAGGGAGGTACCAGGGGGGTATAGCGGAGGCTTTCTACCGGGGGGTCATAGGGGGGTAATACGTGGGGGTCATCGGGAGGCTTCTCTAGGGTGAGGTCATAGGGGGTCATCAGGCAGGATCTCTGGGAGGTATAGGGAGGCGAGTCCAGATGTTTATTCACACCTCCCCGACCCTTCACCTAATGCCGACACATCAGGGGCCGTCTGATTGGTCCAGAAACGGATGTGTTGGGCCAGAGCCAGAACACACGTGGGTAATGCGGTGGTGTGAAAAAGTGTCATTGGCTTTGATACTCTGATTGGTTAGAGACGATCCAATCGCTGGTGATTTTGTTTTGTACAACGCCCCTCGACACCACAAACAACTTCAATGATGGCAGTCTCAGACTGAAGTATGTAGCGAACGACAGAGCAGAGGAAGAGGAAGAGTTTAGAGTGGTCAGGCTAGGAGCCCCACAAGGTGGCTAGACAGACTACTCACCCTATCACAGGTCAGACACTGCACTGAGCTGACAATGGTCCCATCAAACACATCTGATATCACACTACGGTACTTCTTCTGACGCTTGCTCTTTGGTGAGGAGAACGAGGTTACTGCAGAGACAGAGAGAGAGACAGACAGGGACAGACATACAGAGAGAGGGAGACAGACAGACAGAGAGAGGGAGACAGACAGACAGAGAGAGGGAGACAGACAGACAGAGAGAGGGAGACAGACAGACAGAGAGAGGGAGACAGAGAGAGAGAGAGACAGAGAGAGAGACAGAGACAGAGACACAGAGACACAGAGACACAGAGAGACAGAGAGACAGAGAGACAGAGAGACAGAGAGACAGAGAGAGACAGAGAGAGACAGAGAGACAGAGAGACAGAGAGAGACAGAGAGACAGAGAGAGAGAGACAGAGAGAGAGAGAGACAGAGAGAGAGAGACAGAGAGAGAGAGAGACAGAGAGAGAGAGAGACAGAGAGAGAGAGACAGAGAGAGAGAGAGACAGAGACAGAGACAGAGACAGTCAGGCTACACATACAGCAATATTTTGTCTTTACATTGTTTACATTACTACTGTAGTATATTTCTGCCTACATAATTACTGAATTGTCCCCATAAAGATATTCTATGTGCTATATAATAAATACTTTTCTGATGGCTGGAGGAGATTCCTGGCCAGACAGAGTTGGTCTTTGGTGGACTGCAGGACATCTTGGTAAAGCAGTATCCCTCCATGGGGACTGGACTCTGGGGTCTGGTGCTGCTGGACACTGCCTCTGGGAACGAGTCTGGAGCGGGGGAGGGGAGGAGCACAGAGAGGAACCGTTAAATCGGTTAGCTGCCAAAAATACATTTGACCGGTCACGCTTATCGGACTATAGGTACATTTGCATAGTAAGTGTGTTTTTCATTAATCATCATGTGACACTAACTAGAGGCAAGAGACAGAACTAGTCTGTTGGTAACATCGCTAATAGACCAGACACTAACTAGAGGCAAGAGACAGAACTAGTCTGTTTGGTAACATCGCTAATAGACCAGACGCTTAGTGGGTAAGAGCGTTGTGCCAGTAACCGAAAGGTCGCTGGTTCTAATCCCCGAGCCGACTAGGTGAAAAATCTGTCGATGTGCCCTTGAGCAAGGCACTTAACCCTAATTGCTCCTGTAAGTCGCTCTGGATAAGAGCGTCTGCTAAATGACTAAAATGTAAATGTAAATGTAGAGGCAAGAGACAGAACTAGTCTGTTGGTAACATCGCTAATAGACCAGACGCTAACTAGAGGCAAGAGACAGAACTAGTCTGTTTGGTAACATCGCTAATAGACCAGACGCTAACTAGAGGCAAGAGACAGAACTAGTCTGTTTGGTAACATCGCTAATAGACCAGACGCTAACTAGAAGCAAGAGACAGAACTAGTCTGTTTGGTAACATCGCTAATAGACCAGACGCTAACTACAGGCAAGAGACAGAACTAGGAATTCGGGACATGGGTGACTAGTTAACGTTAGTTTGGCTCTCTCTGTGTGTTCGTGCCGTGAAAGGAGGGGTTCTTCTTTGTCTGAAAGCAATGGCTAGCTAGTTTGCTAACTATTCTAGCTAACTAACTGGCTGAATAAGTTGACGACGGACTCGCTCAAGCTGTCGGGACTAACCCACAACGTTAGACACGGACACGAACGATCTGCTTGCGTGTTGATACACTGGTGGTTGTTGTGGCTGAGTGTTGGCGCTAAACCGTGTTGTTGGAGACCGGCATGCTAGCTGGCTGTGGCGTCTTATGACGAGGTGCCCGGACGTTTTTCACGGAATAATACTGCACCTAGTTAGCTAGCTGAATAAACTAAGTTAGTCTATTCCTAGAAAACATTGAACCGCTGTAGTTTACAACAATTCTAGTTTCTAAAGTGGAAGTTGGGAGAGTTTTATTCGGGTGGTTCAGTGAAACAATTATAGTTTCTGAGGTGGAAGTTGGGAGAGTTATATTTGGGAGTTGTGGTGAGGGAGACCCCGCTCTCTCCTTTCCCAGATGTTTAGTTCATTTTATTCCGATCTCCTCTGCATTATTGTAGCCATCTGCTGCAGCCTGTCAACTATGCCTCTGCCTATCCCTGTTCTCTCCTCTCCGCACAGGCTACACAAACGCCTCACACCGCGTGGCTGCTGCCTCTCTAACCTGGTGGTCCCTGCACGCACGACCCACGTGGAGTTCCAGGTCTCAGGCAGCCTCTGGAACTGCCGTTCTGCTGCCAACAAGGCAGAGTTCATCTCAGCCTATGCTACCCTCCAGTCCCTCGACTTCTTGGCGCTGACGGAAACGTGGATTACCACTGAAAACACTGCTACTCCTGCTGCTCTCTCCTCGTCTGACCATGTGTTCTCGCATACCCCAAGAGCATCTGGTCAGCGGGGTGGTGGCACAGGAATCCTCATCTCTCCCAAGTGGACATTCTCAATTTTTCCCCTGACCCATCTGTCTATCTCCTCATTTGAATTCCATGCTGGCACAGTCACTAGCCCATTTAAGCTTAATATCCTTGTCATCTATCGCCCCCCAGATTCCCTTGGAGAGTTCATCAATGAGCTTGACGCCTTGATAAGTTCCTTTCCTGAGGATGGCTCATCCCTCACAGTTCTGGGGGATTTCAACCTCCCTACGTCTACATTTGACTCATTTCTCTCTGCCTCCTTCTTTCCACTCCTCTCCTCTTTTGACCTCACCCTCTCACCGTCCCCCCCTACTCACAAGGCAGGCAATACGCTTGACCTCATCTTTACTAGATGCTGCTCTTCTACTAATCTCACTGCAACTCCCCTCCAAGTCTCCGACCACTACTTTGTATCCTTTTCTCTCTCCCTCTCCTCCAACACTACTCACTCTGCCCCTACACAGATGGTAATGCGCCGTCGCAACCTTCGCTCTCTCTCTCCCGCTACTCTCTCCTCTTCCATCCTATCATCTCTTCCCTCTGCTCAATCCTTCTCCCTCCAATCTCCTGATTATGACTCCTCAACCCTCCTCTCCTCCCTTTCTGCATCCTTTGACTCTCTATGTCCCCTATCCTCCCGGCCGGCTCGGTCCTCCCCTCCAGCTCCGTGGCTTGATGACTCATTGCGAGCTCACAGAACAGAGCTCCGGGCAGCTGAGCGGAAATGGAAGAAAACTAGACTCCCTGCGGACCTGGCATCTTTTCACTCCCTCCTCTCTACATTTTCTTCATCTGTTTCTGCTGCTAAGGCCACTTTCTACCACTCTAAATTCCAAGCATCCGCCTCTAAACCTAGGAAGCTCTTTGCCACATTCTCCTCCCTTGTTAAGTCAAATGACACTGCTGGTCCTGCTCACACTGCCCTACCCTATGCTTTGACTTCTTTCTCCCCTCTCTCTCCAGATAAAATCTTGCGACGGCAGGCCGCCCAACAACCTGCCCGCTTGACCCTATCCCCTCCTCTCTTCTCCAGACCATCTCCGGTGACCTTCTCCCTTACCTCACCTCGCTGATCAACTCATCCTTGACCGCTGGCTATGTCCCTTCCGTCTTCAAGAGAGCGAGAGTTGCACCCCTTCTCAAAAAACCAACACTCGATCCCTCCGATGTCAACAACTACAGACCAGTGCCCCTTCTTTCTTTTCTCTCCAAAACTATTGAGCGTGCCGTCTTTAGCCAACTCTCTTGCTATCTCTCTCAGAATGACCTTCTTAATCCAAACCAGTCAGGTTTCAAGACTGGTCATTCAACCGAGACTGCTCTTCTCTGTGTCACGGAGACTCTCCGCACTGCTAAAGCTAACTCTCTCTCCTCTGCTCTTGTCCTTCTAGACCTGTCTGCTGCCTTTGATACTGTGAACCATCAGATCCTCCTCTCCACCCTCTCCGAGCTGGGCATCTCCGGCGCGGCTCACTCTTGGATTGCGTCCTACCTGACCGGTCGCTCCTACCAAGTGGCGTGGCGAGAAGCTGTCTCCGCACCACGTGCTCTCACCACTGGTGTCCCCCAGGGCTCAGTTCTAGGCCCTCTCCTATTCTCGCTATACACCAAGTCACTTGGCTCTGTCATATCCTCACATGGCCTCTCCTATCATTGCTACGCTGACGACACACAACTAATCTTCTCCTTTCCCCCTTCTGATAACCAGGTGGCGAATCGCATCTCTGCATGTCTGGCAGACATATCAGTATGGATGACGGATCACCACCTCAAGCTGAACCTCGGCAAGACGGAGCTGCTCTTCCTCCCGGGGAAGGACTGCCCGTTCCATGATCTCGCCATCACGGTTGACAACTCCGTTGTGTCCTCCTCCCAGAGTGCGAAGAGCCTTCGCGTGACCCTGGACAACACCCTGTCGTTCTCCGCTAACATCAAGGCGGTGACCCGATCCTGTAGGTTCATGCTCTACAACATTCGGAGAGTACGACCCTGCCTTACACAGGAAGCGGCACAGGTTCTAATCCAGGCACTTGTCATCTCCCGTCTGGATTACTGCAACTCGCTGTTGGCTGGGCTCCCTGCCTGTGCCATTAAACCCCTACAACTCATCCAGAATGCCGCAGCCCGTCTGGTGTTCAACCTTCCCAAGTTCTCTCACGTCACCCCGCTCCTCCGCACACTCCACTGGCTTCCAGTTGAAGCTCGCATCTGCTACAAGACCATGGTGCTTGCCTACGGAGCTGTGAGGGGAACGGCACCTCCGTACCTTCAGGCTCTGATCAGTCCCTACACCCAAACGAGGGCACTGCGTTCATCCACCTCTGGCCTGCTGGCTCCCCTACCTCTGCGGAAGCATAGTTCCCGCTCAGCCCAGTCAAAACTGTTCGCTGCTCTGGCACCCCAATGGTGGAACAAGCTCCCTCACGACGCCAGGACAGCGGAGTCACTCACCACCTTCCGGAGACATTTGAAACCCCACCTCTTTAAGGAATACCTGGGATAGAATAAAGTAATCTGCATGTTAAAAGCAGAGTTTTGATGGTCACTATTAAGAAGAGGACTTGATTTCTCAACTGGTAATTCGCCACTCGGGTGCATAGGCAGGCTTCAGCACGTCACACACCACTTTGCAACGAGCTGGAGACCGTATCCATTTAAAAAACATAAACGTAATTGTTTGAAACCTGAATGTTGTACTTCATATGATGAGGCATGTCTTACCCTTGCTTCTAAGGAGCCTTGACAAAATCCCACCATGGAAACGGGAGGCAATTCTTTTAGAAAGACTTCCATATGCCGTTGGAACCAGCATTTCCCTCCTGTTCTACTGGTTTTCATACCAACTTTCTTTCATTGTCCAGAAGCCAAAGGGACAATCCTAGTCATATTAGCATCCCATCCTAGTCATATTAGCAACCCATCCTAGTCATATTAGCAACCCATCCTAGTCATATTAGCATCCCATCCTAGTCATATTAGCATCCCATCCTAGTCATATTAGCATCCCATCCTAGTCATATTAGCAACCCATCCTAGTCATATTAGCATCCCATCCTAGTCATATTAGCAACCCATCCTAGTCATATTAGCATCCCATCCTAGTCATATTAGCAACCCACCCTAGTCATATTAGCAACCCACCCTAGTCCATATAGCAACCCATCCTAGTCATATAGCAACCCATCCTAGTCATATTAGCAACCCCATCCTAGTCATATTACGATCCCATCCTAGTCATTATTAGCATCCCATCCTAGTCATATTAGCATCCCATCCTAGTCTATTAGCAACCCATCCTAGTCATATTAGCAACCCATCCTAGTCCATATTAGCATCCCATCCTAGTCATATTAGCATCCCGTCCTAGTCATTATAGCAATCCCTCCTAGTCTATTAGCATCCCATCCTAGTCATATTAGCATCCCATCCTAGTCATATTAGCAACCCATCCTAGTCATATTAGCATCCCATCCTATCATATTAGCATCCCATCCTAGTCATATTAGCATCCCATCCTAGTCATATTAGCAACCCATCCTGTCATATTAGCATCCCATCCTAGTCATATTAGCATCCCATCCTAGTCTATTAGCAACCCATCCAGTCATATTAGCATCCCATCCTAGTCATATTAGCATCCCATCCTAGTCATATTAGAAACCCATCCTAGTCATATTAGCATCCTAGTCATATTAGAAACCCATCCTAGTCATATTAGCATCCCATCCTAGTCATATTAGCATCCCATCCCAGTCATATTAGCATCCCATCCTAGTCATATTAGCATCCCATCCTAGTCATATTAGCATCCCATCCTAGTCATATTAGCATCCCATCCTAGTCATATTAGCATCCCATCCTAGTCATATTAGAAACCCATCCTAGTCATATTAGCATCCTAGTCATATTAGAAACCCATCCTAGTCATATTAGCATCCCATTCCTAGTCATATTAGCCATCCCATCCCAGTCATATTAGCATCCCATCCTAGTCATATTAGTCATCCCATCCTAGTCATATTAGCATCCCATCCTAGTCATATTAGCACATCCCATCCTAGTCATATTAGCAACCCATCCTAGTCATATTAGTCAACCCCATCCTAGTACTATAGCATCCCATCCTAGTCATATTAGCCATCCCATCCTAGTCATAATAGCATCCCATCCTAGTCATATTAGCATCCCATCCTAGTCATATTAGCAACCCATCCTAGTCATATTAGCATCCCATCCTAGTCATATTAGCATCCTAGTCATATTAGCATCCCATCCTAGTTGTTGCATCTTTAGATCCCACCTCTTTCCAAATGTCACCGCTCGCACGAGTTGCGCTGTTTAGAACAGTGTTTTCTCACGGATTGCATTTTGGCAAAATGTTGAAAAGGACGTATTATTGGCTGCTTCATTACAGGAGTTACATGTTCAATCATATAGCCTTTTTGGCTGTGAGACGATGGGCTTGCTATTGCTACATGTTTTAATTCCGCTGTTAATGGATGAAGTCCTTTCTTGTATACATCGATTGTATTTTCTGTTGGTCATGTCATTTTACTGTTTGGAATCCCTAGAGGAGGCAGGATGATTCATTATTAACTTTATTTATCCCAGTAGGTTATTGACAACACATTCTCTTTCATTAGAATAACCTGGCTACTACACGTTTTGTGGCTAAGACCTGAAGCCAAGCCTCCCCAGCTTGTGAGACCTGACGCCAAGCCTCCCCAGCTTGTGAGACCTGACGCCAAGCCTCCCCAGCTTGTGAGACCTGACGCCAAGCCTCCCCAGCTTGTGAGACCTGACGCCAAGCCTCCCCAGCTTGTGAGACCTGAAGACTTTTGTTCACTCAAGGAGATAACGCAGACTAGTCTTGAGCTCAGCGGGCTAACACAATGTTGAGGCAAGCTAGACTGATGTGATGGTTTGAACCTACTTGATTCATCCATTCAGTCATTAAATTAATCCCATTCATTCATTCATTCATTCATTCAAGGTGTACCTACCAGCCATTCTTCCCTGTATCTGGACCTTGATGGTCCCCTGGCTGCTGATGATGGGCGTGGCCTCGTTAGTGGGAGTGGTATCCACGTCTTTATCCAAGTCTCTCCCTGACGACCCCGCGCCCCCCGACCCCCGGTAGAGGTCGTTGATCAGGTTCTTCTCCTTCTGCCACTCCCTATTGGTCCGGCCCGAGGAGTGGGAGGAGTCAGGTCCATCAGGGATCAGCATCTCTGCCTCGTTAGACTCCTCCCCCGACGGCAACGCCGACCGCCCGTCCCCGCTCCCGCCCTTGTTGTCCGCCCGCTCGCCGCCGCCGCCGCCGCCGCAGGACTCGCACGACTCGCACGACTGGAAGTCTCCGTCAGATTGGCTGCGGCTGTCGTCCTCGGGGCCGTCGTCCATGGCGATGGCGTGCGAGTGATGGTCGTTGTCGGGGGGCTCGGCCAGCGGCTCCTTCAGCTCCTCGTGGAGCTGGTCCATCAAACAGCGCAGGAACTCTTGAGAGTCCTTACGGAAACATACAGATAACAAATAGATTATTACTATAGGGTTTATAGCAGTGTTATAATATGGTTCTAGTCCTAATGTAAACAGATGACTGTGGAGCTGGTCCATCAGACAACGCAGGATCTCCTAATGAATCCTACAGACAACATATAGATATATACATTTAATATAGATACAGTGCATTCAGAAAGTATTCACACCCCTTGACTTTTTCCACATTTTGTTGTTGCAGCCTGAATTTAAAAATGGAATAAAAATGTAGATTTCTTGGTGACTGACCTAACAACACCCCCATAATGTCAAAGCATAATTGTATTTTTTTTTTCAAATCGATAAAGTATTCAACCCCTTTGTTTTGGCATGCCTAAATAAGTTCAGGAGTAAACATTTGCTTAACAAGTCACATACATCACAGGCAGCGCTCTCATCCTTTTATATGCAGATTATACAGTCTTATACTCAGCTGGCCCCTCCCTGGATTTTGTGTTAAACGCTCTACAACAAAGCTTTCTTAGTGTCCAACAAGCTTTCTCTGCCCTTAACCTTGTTCTGAACACCTCCAAAACAAAGGTCATGTGGTTTGGTAAGAAGAATAACCCACTCCCCACCGGTGTGATTACTACCTCTGAGGGTTTAGAGCAGGGGTGTCAAACGTCCGGCCCGCGGGCCGGATCAGGCCCGCAAACGGGTTTAATCCGGCCCGCGAGATGATTTTGTAAAGTATAAAAATGCACTGCAATTTTTCAATAAAATAAACTGCTGTTCCAATTGCGTCCACTGGATGGCGCAATAGCAATTATGTTAAGCAAGCAAACTGTTTATACCGGGGCAGAGCAAGTAGGTCAAGTCTGTGTTTACTCACAGCCGAGACATCAGTGACGCTGCAGTGAAAGCTAGCTACCTCATTGCTAATGAAATCGCAGTGGCTTCAAAACCATTTAGTGAGGGTGAATTTGTAAAAACATGCATGATGAAGGCAGCTGAGATTGTGTGCCCTGAAAAGCGTCAGGCTTTTGTAAATATCAGCCTGACAAGAAACACCAGTTGCAGACAGGATTTCCGATCTTTCAGTGGATTTGGACAGCCAGTTGAAGCAAAAAGTAAAGTCATTTATTGCGTTTTCGGTTGCAATTGATGAAAGCACGGACATTACAGATGTTGCAACAACTGGCCATTTTCATCCGCGGAGTTGATGACACATTGACCGTCACCGAGGAGTTCGTGGAGTTGGTGCCGATGACAGATACAATGACAGCAGCTGATATTTTTACCGCACTCGTCGGCGTGCTGGACAGGGTCGGAGTGGACTGGTCCCCGCGCTGTCAGCCTGGCTACAGATGGTGCGCCCTCAATGATCGGGAAAAAAAGCAGGCGTTGTGACAAAGTTCAGAGAGAAAGTGCAATCTGCAAAATGGAGGACGTGATTTTTGACTTTTCACTGTATTTTGCACCAGGAGGCTTTGTGTTGCAAGTCATTAAAGATGGATAACGTCATGAAGGTGGTCATCCAAACTGTTAATTTCATCCGATCCAGAAGCCTGAATCACCGTCAGTTTTGACAGCCTTCTCAGAGAGAAAGACCACATCTATGGCCTGCCATACCACACTGAGGTAAGATGGTTAAGCCGAGGTGCTGAGGCGTTTCTTTGATTTACGAGAAGAAATTGAACAGTGTTAGAATTCCATTCCGCAGAATGGATGCAGGACCTTGCATTTATGGTGGATGTTACAGAGCACCTGAATAACTTGAACAAACAGCTGCAAGGGCGCAACAAAGTTGTCATGCAGTATTATGACAGCATACGTTTCTTTCAAGTTGAAGCTGTCATTGTGGGAGACGCAACTCGCCGGTGGTGATGCAGCTCACTTCCCCTGTCTGAAAAATGTGTGCGCGACCCAACATGTGGCAGACATGAAGCGGTTCAAAGATAAAATAACGGGACTGTTACGGGAGTTTGAGCAACGCTTTCAGATTTTTGGTGAACTGGAGAAAGACTTCAACGTTTTTTGCTCGCCATTCACCGTGAATCCCTCTGATCTGCCGGTCAGCATCCAACTTGAAATAATAGACTTGCAGTGTGACTCGGATTTGAAGGGCAAATTTGCCGCAGCTGGCTTGGACACATTTAATCAGAATCTCTTGCCAGGTTACCCCAACTTGACAGCCCTCGCTGCAAAACTGTTGTGCATGTTTGGAACCACATATCTTTGTGAGCAAGTTCTCTCTGTAATGAGCATAAATAAACAAAGCTGCGCTCAAGGCTCACGCACAAGCACTTGAATCACATCCTGAAGTTGGCTGCCACTCAGGATGTGACGCCTGATATTGATGCGCTGGTGAAAGCTAAAAGATGCAGGTATCAGGAGTCAAATAAAACTATGCAACCCCACTTAAAGTGCTACATGAGACACCCTGATATAGTTCTGTGATCTGTGATATACTTCTGTGAATCACTGAGGCATGTGTGTTTGTGTGTTCTTTGTCCTCAGAACTTTCAAATAACTTGAGGTGTTTTATGATTAATAGTGATGTTGTGCTTGTACTATTTTGGACACACTGTCCTCAGGCTCCAGCTTTATGTTGTATGTTGATCGTATTAAAACAAAGAAAACAATCTGAAGTTGTTGTTTTTAAGTTATATATACCATGATTTTTCCGGTCACGGCCCACTTGGGAATAGATTTTCCTCCATGTGGCCCCTGAGCTAAAATGATTTGACACCCCTGGTTTAGAGCTTGAGGTAGTCACCTCATACAAGTTCCTTGGGAGTACGGCTAGACGGTATCCTTCTCCTCAGCACATATCAAAGCTGGCAGGCTAAGGTTAAATCTAGACTTGCTTTCCTCTATCGTAATCGCTCCTCTTTCACCCCCAGCTGCCAAACTAACCCTGATTCAGATGACCATCCTACCCCATGCTAGATTACGGAGACGTCATTTATAGATTGGCAGGTGTTCTTTACCATTCGGCCATCAGATTAGCCACCAATACTCCTTATAGGACACATCACTGCACTCTATACCCTCTGTAAAACTGGTAATCTCTGTATACCCATCGCAAGACCCACTGGTTGATGCTTATTTATATAACCCTCTTAGGCCTCACTCCCCCCCCTATCTGAGATACCTACTGCAGCCCTCATCCTCCACATACAAACACCCGTTTCTGCCAGTCACATTCTGTTAAAGGTCCCCACAAGCACACACATCCCTGGGTCGCTTCCTCTTTTCAGTTTGCTGCAGCAAGCGACTGGAACGAGCTGCAAAAAAACCTCAAATGGACAGTTTTTCTCCACTCTTATTCAAGCCAAAAATGGACACTCTTATGACAGTTGTGGCTCTTTCAGGACTTGTTAGCCAAGCCCCCTCTCTCCTCCAGGACTTGTCAGCCCTGAAAACCCTCTCTCCTTCCCGGGGCTGTTAGCCGAAGAGGAGAGCCGAGCCCCCCCTCTTAGGACGAGCCCTGAAGTTTTTCCCCTTTTTTGGGGCCCGCTAGTGAAGTTTTTCCTAGGGGGGAGGAAGCCTCCTCTTCCTTCGGACTGTCGCCCCCAAGCCCCCCTTTTTCCTAGGACCCTTTGCCGAAGCCTCCTCTCTTCTTTTCAGGACTTTCTAGCCTGAAGCCCCTCTCTTCCAGGACCCGTCTAGCCTGAAGCCCCCTTTTCTCTAAAAGGGTTGTTAGCCCGAAGCCTCCCCTTTCGGGCTCGTCTAGCCCTGAAGCCCCCTTCCTCTCAGGACTCTGTTAGCCTGAAGCCTTCCCTCTCAGGGGTTGTCTAGCCTGAAAACCCCTCCTCTTTTCTCAGGACCGTCTAGCCTGGAAGCCTCCTCTCCTCTCTCAGGACTCGCTAGCCCTAACCCCCCCCTTTGACTCTGTCTAGCCCCGAAGCCTCCTTCCTTCCCTAGGAAGTTAGCCTGAAGCCTTTCTTAGGGCTTTTGTCTAGCCCTGAAGCTCTCTCTCTCTTTTAGGACTTGTTTAGCCCGAAGCCTCCTTCTTCAGGACCGTTAGCCCTGAAGCCTCCCCTCTCTCCAGGACTTGTCTAGCCCTTTAAGCCCCCTCTCTCTCTCAGGAATGTTAGCCCCGAAGCCCCTCTTCTCTCAGGTCTGTCGCCCCTGAAGCCCCCCCCCCCTCTTCAGGACCTGTTAGCCCTGAAACCTCCTCTCTCTCTTCAGGACTCTGTTACCCGAAGCCCCCCCTCCTCTCAGGATTGTCTAGCCCTGAACCTCCTCTCTCTCTCTAGGACTCTTTAGCCCCGAAACCTTTCCCCTTTTCTCTAAGGGGGTTGTCAGCCCCGAAGCTCCCTCTCTTCATAGGGTCTGTCAGCCCTGAAGGGGTCCTCTTCCTTTGGACTCGCTAGCCCGAAGCTCTCTTCTCTCTTCAGGATCTGTCTAGCCCCGAACCCCCTCTCTCTCTCAGGTCGTAGCCTGAAGCCCCCTTCTTCTCTCAGGACTCTGTCAGCCCCCAAGCCTCCTCTCCTCTTCGGGCCTTTGCCCCAACCTCCTCTCTCTCTCTCGGATCGTTACCTGAACCTCCCTTTTCTCTCTCTCGGACTTGTTAGCCCCAAGCCTCCCCTCTCTCTTCGGACTTGTTGCCTAAACTCCCCTTTTCTCCTCAGGACTCTGGGCTAGCCTGAAGCCTCCCCCTCTCTCTCAGGGCTCTGTTAGCCCTGAAACCCCCTTCTCTTCTCTCAGGATCGTCTAGCCCCGAAACTCCTCTCTCTTTTCAGGACTCTGTCTGCCCTTTAAGCCCCCTCTCTCTCTCTCTCAGGGCCTGTTAGCCCCGAAGCCTCCTTCTCTCTTCAGGACTCGGTTGCCCTGAAGCTCCTCCTTTAGGACCGTCGCCCCTGAAGCCTCCTCTCTCTCTCTCAGGACTCTGTCTAGCCCTGAAGCCTCCTCTCTCTAGGACTCTGTCTAGCCCCGAAACTCCTCTTTCCCCCTCTTCGGCTCTGTTTTTCCCGAACCTCTCTCTCTCCTCAGGACTCGTTAGCCTGAAGCCTCCTCCTCTT